TAGCTTATTGTAGAGTAGGCCTAATTGAAGAGTGGTCAATTTTAATTTTGAGTCTTTGAAACGGGCCTCGTCGTAAAGAGTTCCAGATTCATGTTGGTTCTCTTTGACTGATTAGAGCTTTTCTTTTGTCGGGTTTTGGGTGATCAGAGCACTCTGAAACTGCAAGAGGTTCCATTATTATGTCAGAACTGTTGAAATGTTGGCCAACTGTTGTGCATAATTGGTCACTTTTTTAAGCACAATTGGCTATCCCGAAAAATGCTGTTTTGAGAAAATCGAAGGTAAAGTTTTTGCCCCTTGTTCGATTTCTTTAAAAGACGAGGGGGTTTTTTCTATAAACAAATACACACCAATGTAACCAAACTTCTGATATAGGTATGGCAATGCCCATTCTGGGTGTAGGTCAAGATTTCTGGAAATCCCCGAAATCTGGGTTAACAAGTCCTTCGGCCTTCAATGTCGCAGGTAAATAAATATAGGCCCCTGTGCCGGAAAAAAATCATATGAAATATGAACCAAGGTGGCTCAGGGATGACCCCACTCTACTTCTCATAACTTTTTTATTTATGATTATTTCCTCAGGAATTTCTGCGTGAAGCCTACATTCTACATTGAACCACGTTTCTATTGATATATTTTAGGGAGATTTTATTAACAGATAGATGGAGAAAAGTTGGAGCTATAGTAGCATGATGCCAAAACAACACCATCAAACTACATAAAACAACACACATTCAAGTAATGATAAAGTGAGACAGAAAAAAAAGTGAAATATATGTTGTATGAGTGTTTGCAGGTAAAGAAAAAGTGACAAGAGGCTCTTCCTATCTTATACAAGGCTCGTACAACGTAAGCCCAGCAGTGTTTACTCACAATAAATCATTTTTGTGCAGTAGATGTGTTAGATCTAGATTAGATACAGTCTTCTCTTGGAGCTTAAATCTGAATCTGATGCTTTCAAATGGGTGGCAAATGGTGGTGTACATAAAGGGAAGGTACCTCAATAATAATTACAAGATTTAGCAATAATTAACTTCCCTTATATTTAGGTACCACAAACAGGGTCGTCGAGAGCCAGGTCGGGCCCTGGGGCAGCAACCACCTTCGGGCCCCTCCTCCATTCTTGAAATGATCCTTTCTTGAATCTCCTTATCAAAAAAGGCCTTCTCATGTATAATATTGACAGTGTTGACAGTGCTTTTAGTGAATATTTTTTACTTTTTCGGTCCCCTACCGTACTATAAAATGTGATGGAAGATTCACACTAAATCACTTGTCGGACGTGGGATTGTCGTTTAGATCGTCATTTTGTTCCTTTGGAAAGTCTCGCGCTTTGACTCCGTCGGTCCATCTTTCTCTTGACCTTCCTTTTGCCTTTAAGCCGTCGAAGTTGCATGTTTTAGGCTTCTGTCTATTATGGTGCCGAATTCATATAAAAATGTGTAGCCTAATAGTAATTCTCCTTGCTGAAGATTACGGTCTGGATGTGATATCTGTGGGTACCGCTCATTGACCCCCCACCCAAAAAAAAACCCCACAAAAAAACCCAACAATAACACAACAACAAACAAACAAACAAACTAAAAGAAAACACCAAAAAAACACCCAAAAAAAAACTAGGCCCATGCATGGAAGGTCCTAGAAATACATGCACTTCGTTTGTCTCTCATCGTTATAAGGTAGAAGCTTGTCTTTTGATATTGCTACCTTACTTAAAGCATCTTACAACGTAAATGCTATTAGAACCGCTTTGCTATAATAACAAAAATTATGATCAAATTATTATACTTCACTCCCCGAGAACTTGCAGATGAATGGCGAGACAAGCAAAATAGAAGCATTAGAGAGCACTCAAGTACTCTTTTTTACAAAAGGTTGTTGTTTTAAACTTTATTTTTTTTTTTCAAGAATAGGCTCATAATTTGAAATTCTAGCTAATGGTTGTTTATTCCTGATCCTGTTTCTTCAATTCGCAGGCGTTTAAGTAGCAAAGACGTACAGTTTTTTAAAAATCATCTAGCCTATCTATTATGAGTTGTGGTTACCAGGCGCGGTTCGTCCATAGAGCACGGTCGAGCAGTGCCGCCCAGAATTTAAAAAAAAAAAAAAATGTTCTATTACGAAAAGCATCCACAAACTTAAAATTTAAAAAATCAGAAACAAACGCAAGCCAAATACTATTTCAAAACAAGGTCGTCACTGGCACCTTAACAGTCACTTCTGTGTTTAAAGGGCCGTAAAACATCTACTATGCCATGCCAAAGTCCATGCGCTTTAACTAAACATAATAGGATATTCAACAATGGTAACCTGACCTATAAATCGCTCTTTGGGATAATCGAAATGATGACGACACTCGTAGAGAGTTTGGCAGTACATTAATATTAATAAGACGGCACATCTCAAATGTGCACCCACGAAACATAGCCACGGTCTCTGGCCCAATTTACGGTCTCTGCTCTGGCCATAGAGTTATCTCCTTTTATACTAGAGTCCGTACGAGGTCACGTGACCCGGAAACATTTGAGTTTGTTGGCGGCCATGTTTCAGTGGGCGAGAACGTTTGTTTACATGTGAGTGGGCGTGTCTCTGCTCTTACGTGTTTTGTTTGATTCTAACGTTATGTTTTAATCAAAAGTGATTCTCTTAAAAATGCAAGCAAGTGAAACCTCTAGATCTAGTCCCTTTCTGGATTAACGTCTTATTCGGTCCAATCGTGTATACGTTATAAATCTATACACAGCCGCTTGGAGCTGTGAGTAGAAAGCACAGTTGAGTATGAATTATCACATGTACGCAGATGATGAACAGTTGTATATGTTCCACCACCAGATGCTAAAACCTTGCCTGCCACCATGGGTATGTGCATTGATGATGGCAAGAACTCGATGATTGATAATAAGCTCCAGCT